ATCAGATTTCCAGGAGACCTCCGCAGTGGGGATCACGAGGCCCAGGTGGGAGGAGCAGAGCCAGGAAGGACCCTGGGTTCGTCCTGTGTCCCCCATTTCAGAAGAGAAGGCGGGGGCCACGCGGGAGGGAGGAGACCCAGAAGACAGCAATGTCATCCATCACGAGTGGGGTATGAGCACCGGGGAGGGGCTGCGGACTGCCGATGCCCCCTCCCAACCCACCGTCCACAAGTGACAGAGACCCAGGGAAGTGGGGCCCGGAGGGACTCTGCTCAAGGTCCCCAGTAGCAGGTGGCTGGGCCAGGACGTGAGCCGTGTCTCTAAGGCTCTAAGGCCACTGTGCCCACATATGCCTCCTGCCAGGGGCCTAATCAGACAACCTTAAAAGGAGAGGAAATGTTTTAAAAAAGATAAAACACACACGAAAATAAAAATCCGAAACCAGCATAAGCCCCGTGGTAAGAGACCACGTCCACACTGGTTACCCGTTAGCCACACACAGGCCCTGCCTCCAGCCTCCAGCCCACCGCCTTCCCCCGGGATGAGCTGTTTTTGTCAGGCTGGGTCCTCCTGTGTCATAAGTCCACCCACATCACTTCCACTTTTTCCACTCTGCCCACCGCTCTCCTTCCTACTTCCTAATTACGGTGCAAGAGCTCACTATTGTCCCCGTGACCTGGTCTGGAAATCTCAGCGACCGCAGGCATCCTCTCCCCTCTCTACTCCTTCCCCCCAAACACACACACCTCCAGGTCTCAACCCGGCAGCCGGAGGGCTGTACCTGGCCCGTGGGAGGACCTTATTTGGCCTGCGAGAGGTGACTTCTGTAACACGGAGTGGTAGCCAGTACTGAGAGCCTGGGTGATCTCATACCTAAAACTTGAAAATCTGGTAACCGTGGCCCCAATTCTCACAGGCGGCAAGCAGCTGAGTCAGAGCCGTGTCCTGCGGAAGGGGCCTGCCTCCTACTTTGCCACAATCCCCGCCACTCCCTGATGCCTCACACCTGGCCGGACTCTCTCCTGTCTTCTACTTTGCCACCATTCCCCACCCGCCGCCTCCTATCAGACACGTGCATCGGCAACCCCTGCCCACCTCCCCATTCGCCTGGTCCCAGACCCTTCTCCCTTTCCAACGCCTCTCTTTGGCCCCCACCCAGCTCCCTGCTACTTCTCAGGCAGGGGTTCATTGTGATAATTACTATCACCCACTTCCCCAAGGCTTTCCAGTCCCCAAGTCCGGCCATGACATCCGTCGAGCCACTGTGTGGCTTCACTGCCCACAGGGCAAAGTCCAGCTTCTACAGGGGCCTCTGGACCACCCCATTCAACATGCCTTCCTATGTCAGTGTTCCTGGGCACCTGCTTTACGCAGGGCCCTGGCCCTAGGCACCAACAATACGGGGCAGACAGAAGCGTGCTTCCTCCCAGAAGAAAGATCAGTGCAGTGTCGGGGACGCGTCCGAGGGAGGGAAACGGTCCTGATGTCCCGCCTCCGGTCACATGGCTCTGCCTTCTGTCCTCTGCACACTGTCTGGTCTCCCTGCTTTGGCTTTCTCCCCTCCCCCCACTGACTACGAAGGCCTAACCTCCTTCCACACCCAGCGTTCACACCCCTTCTCTGTGAGCCTCCCTCGCGTGAACACAGAACAGTACACATCACAAAATCTTGACCAATCTCGCTGACTTCATTCACTCAACAAATGTTCCCTGAGCAATACTGGGTGCCCGACACAGGAATGAGCAAGACAGAGGCCGAGGTTTTAGGAAGCCTCTCTTCTACTGAGAGAGAAACAACGTAAGGGATGGATTAAGAATTGTTCAGGGGTGCCTGGGTGGCTTAGTCGGTTAAGCGTCCGACTTTCACTTAGGTCATGATCTCACGGTTTGTGGGTTCGAGCCCCGCGTCGGGCTTTGTGCTGACTGCCAGCTCAGAGCCTGGAGCCTGTTTCAGTCTGTGACTCTCTCTGACCTCTCTCTCTGACCCTCCCCTGCTCACGCTGTCTCTCTCTCTCTCCTAGAAATAAATAAAACATTAAAAAAATAAAAAAATAAAAAAAGAATTGTTCAGAAAAGAAAACAGAATAAATATGCATAAAGGTGAAGGTGGTTCTTTAGATAAGGTGATGGAGGAATGCCTGTCAGGAAAGGTAACAGTCCATCTGGGACCTACAAGGTAGTAAGTAGCACGGCAGAATGGGCAGGTGGGAGGAGTCCCGTGTGGAGAGCAGTTAGTGCAAAGGCCCTGAGGCAGAAATAACCTTGTAAGATGGGCAAGGCAGAGGGGCAGCAGGGAGCCAGTTAGGAAGGTACTGCCCTAACCCAGGGCAAAGTTGACAAATGGAAATGAACTTATTATGGATTTGACTGGGGGCAGGGGGGGTGAGGAGGTCGTTGATTTTAGCCTGAGCAGCTAAGACAGTAGGGCACTCTTAAGGACTGAATATAAATCTGTGTTGAAGTCCTAACCTCCAACATGATGGTACCTGGAGATGGGGTTTTGGGGAAGTAACTGGGTTAGATGAGGTCATGAGAGTGAGGCCCTGGTCTGGCGGGATTAGTGTCCTTATAAGAAGAAACTTTAGATAGCTCTCTCTCTCTCTCTCTCTCTCTCTCTCCACACACATATACCAAGAAAGGGCCATGTGAAGAGTCAGCAAGAAAGCATCCATCTGCAGGTCAGGAAGTGAGTCCTCCCTGGACCCTGACCATGTTCGACCTTGATCTTGGACCTCGGAGCCTACAAGTGCCGTAAGAAAATAAGCTTCTGTTATTAAGCCACCTAGCCTATGGTGTCTGTTACAGCAGCCTGAGCTAATACAGGTCCTTTACTGACATGCGGGAAGCTCAGCAAAGTGCATGATCACGTAGGTACCTAGGATGGAATTTCTCCGAGTTGAGCCCGATAAGGTAAAATGGTGAGATGCTGTCAGTGAAGCCCCCAGGGCTGTGCCCAAGGTGCGGAACCCCGCATTCACTGAGACACCCCACGCACACTCGAGCCTCAGCCTAATGTTGACGGCTGTGCTCAAAGGCCCCCCTCCCTGAAAACTCATTCCTCCTTCTCCACCCTTGTAGTGGCTGAAATGCAAAGCTCTCTGTTTTCCTTCTTGCTCTGGGAATAAGAGCTTCTTTAATAGCACACTTCAAAGCCAACGTTCCTTTTATCAAGTAGCCTGGCCCCAGGAGGCCTTGCTTTGATCCACGGAGAAGCAGACATTGCAAAACCTTCCAACTTGGCTTTCTTGGAAAAGGAGATCATTCTATCACGCAGACCCCAACAACTCGCTGAGTGTCAGAATGACGGACATGAAAAGGAAAGACAGTTATGAAAATGTCCCAAGAAAACTTCGAAGACTGCAAATTTGAGAAAGAGTTTTGAGATAAAATAGGGCTGGAGATTGGAATGATCTTGATGGAAACATTTTTGCTTAAAGATGGAATTTGTGGGGCACCCAGGGAGCTTGGTCGGTTAAGCGTCCGAGTCTTGGTTTTGGCTCAGGTCATGATCTCACGGTTTGTGGGTTCGAGCCCTGCATCGGGCTCCATGCTGACAGCAAGAAACCCGCTTGGGATTCTCTGTCTCCCTCCCCCTCTGCCCCTCTCCCCCTTACACTCTTTCTCTCTCTCTCAAAATAAAGAAATAAACTTAAAAAAAATAAAGATGGAATTTGTGAAATTTGCCTAATGAAGAAATAAGCAACTGATTTTTTTGAAGAACATTTTAAAACAATTCAAGTATCATTAACATACAGTGTTATATTCATTTTAGCTGTACAACACAGTAATTCACCAAGTCTATACATTACTCAGTGCTCATCATGGTAAATGTGCTCAAAATCCCCTACAACTATTTCCCCCAACCCCGAACCCACCTCCCCTCTGGTAACCATTAGTTTGTTCTCTGTAGTTAAGAGTCTGTTTCTTGGTTTGTTTCTTTTTTCCTTTACTCGTTTGTTTTGTTTCTTAAATTCCACCTGTGGTATTTGTCTTTCTCTATTTCACTTAGCATTATACTCTCTAGATCCGTCCATGTTGTTGCAAATGGTAGTATTTCATTCTTTTCATGGCTGAGTAATATTGCATTGTATTTATATGCCACATCTTCTTCTTCTTCTTTTTAGTGTTTATTTTATTTTTGAGATACAGAGACAGAGCATGAGCAGGGGAGGGGTAGAGAGAGAGGGAGACGCAGAATCTGAAGCAGGCTCCAGGCTCTGAGCTGTCAGCACAGAGCCCGACACGGGGCTCGAACTCATGAACCACAAGGTGGTGACCTGAGATAAAGGCAGACACGTAACCTACTGGGCCCCCCAGGCTCCGCATAGAGAGTTCTGATGCTGCTGATTAATGATCTGAGCAGAGGATCGCTGGGCTAGGCCACATCTGTACCAGCCAGAAGGTCCAGCAGGGAGAGCTGGGGAACCCACAGCCAAGCCCCCCAAAACCACCCGCGGGCTCAGGGAGGCGGCTCCGCGGCAAGGGCCGATGGATCTGTTATGATAGCTTTCGCTGTGTCAACGTGGTTAAGCTGAAACTGCTCTCCCCAGAATCCCCTTCCCTGTCGGCTCCAGGTTAGAAGCGGCCCAAAGAGGAATCTCTAGGAAATCTGGGGGGAACTTCCGCTCTCGAGGAAGACGCAGCAACGGCCGGGCACCACGCAGCCCAGCAGGTTTGAGCCGGTCCCGCTGTCTGGTCTGTGTCCAGCTCTTCCTTCCAATTGCTGGTCCTGAGGCCCGACAGTGTCCCCAGGCCCGCCACCAGGCCCGCCACCGGTCACCTGGCTGGGCACCCGCCGGCAACCGCTGCCCACGGCCTCCTCCACAAGGGTCCCCGTGGTCTCGCCTTGGTGGCCGGTCATCCTGGTCCCCCAGCTTCTGCGTCACTTTCACGTCAGACCTGCCCCCTCCAACCGTGTAAGATCTAATTCTTATCATAAATTCCATCCGTAGGTCACAGTGGCCCAGTTTTCTAGGTTCCGCCTGAGGTTAGCACCCACACTTTCCTGCGGACCTTCCCATCGCGGGCAGTGGTCTTGCAAGCACGGTCCCGGAGCCTCAGCATCAGCACCGCGAGGAGCCTGCTAGAAACGTAAGTTCTTGGGCCCTGGCTCTCCAGACCTACTGCCTCAGAAATTCTGGGGGACCTTCCAACAGGTGCTCAAGTTCAAGAACCACTCCCTCATGTAATGGCTCTGAAGATGTATAAGGTGTTATATCGTTGATGTAATTTTACGCTGTGTGAATTTCCGAGGCCTAACCTTATGCCGGTGAACGTCAGCATTTATCGAGACACTGTGCTAATAAGCGTCTTATCATCCTCACCCCAGCCCTATGAAGGCCCATTACTAGCCTCCCCGTTTAATCGATGTGGAATCCAGGGGGTCTGACCCAGAACCCACACTTGTAAGCAATATGCCATGAGGCCCAGAGCACCAAGGTGCTTCTCTGTTTCCGCAGGAGACGGAAACAGGACATTGGCCAGAGCGGCCCTTGGTCTACGCTTAAAGGCAGTATCTCATGCACTCGGTTTTACCCTGCCCTGCAGCAGAGGCTGGGCGAGTGGGGGGGAAGGCAAGGGGGTGCAGACAGGCTTGCCCACAGGTCCACACCCCCAGGCCTGTCACAATAAAGTCCCCTGCCCCCGGCCAGCCTAAGGCTAAGGGATTTGGAGTGAGCTTATCAGAATGGAAAGATTTTTAAAATTTTTAGCTTATTTATTTATTTTGAGAAAGAGAGAGAGAGAGAGAGAGCAGGGGAGGGGCAGAGAGAGAGGGGGAGAGAGAGAATCCTAAGCAGGCTCCTTGCTATCAGCGCAGAGCCCAATGAGGGGTTTGAACTCATAAACCCTGAGATTGTGACCTGAGCTGAAACCAAAGAGTTGGACCCTTAACAGGCTGAGCCACCTAGGTGGCCCGAGAATGGAAAGATTAAAAAAAATTTTTTAAAGTTTATTTTGAGAGACAGAGAAAGCAGAGGAGGGACAGAGAGAGAGAGAGAGAGAGAGGGAGGGAGAGAATCCCAGGCAGGATCCTTGCTATCAGCACAGAGCCCAGTGCGGGGCTCGAACTCATGAATTGTGAGATTGTGACCTGAGCCAAAACCAAGAGTTGGATGCTTAACTGACTGAGCCACCCAGGCATCCCTAGCATGGAAAAAGTTGTTCGTTTTTTAAATTTTTTAAAAAATTTTTAATGTTTTATTTTTGTCTGAGAGAGAGAGAGACAGCGTGAGCAGGGGAAGGTCAGAGAGAGAGAGAGAGGGAGACACAGAATCCAAAACAGGCTGCAGGCTCTGAGCTGGCTGTCAGTACAGAGCCTGACCCGGAGCTCGAACCCATGAACCGTGAGATCATGACCTGAGCCAAAGTCAGATGCTCAACCGACTGAGCCACCTGGACGCCCCTGGAAAAAGTTTTTAAAAGTACTTATGACATTAGCAGCATCTAGAAATGTATTGCGCATTTACTATGTGCCAAGTACTTTTTGCACACAGCTCATTTAATCCTCACAAAATCCTAAAACTGTTCTCCTCACTCGGAGAAATTCAGCTGATGCCCAAGTCGCCGAGGTCATTGGGGCCAGCACTTCAATATAAATCTGTAACTTTAATACGAAGTCATACCTGTTTCTCTACAGGAAATAGAGATAATGGTCAATATTCAAAATTTTTAAATTCTTTGCATCCTTTTTAGTTAAGAATGGGCCGCCTTTATAATCAGCGTTGTGACACGATTAGACAAGGACTGGCTTCCTATGTCCCTCAGGGTCTCCATCACCGCCACGTTTCACGGCCCTGTGGCCTTCCCGGGTGTGGACGCACCACACGGTCTACCGTCCAGGCCTTCACGGTGGACGGCTGGGTTGTTTCCACAGGAAGACACTTCAACTGGGGAAACATGTTTGAACCAGGGCGTCGACATTAGCAACCCCCTCTCCCTACAACCAGGGGCAACATGGGGCCTCGGCTCTGGCGGGGACGATGCCTGTGTCAGAAAGACCCGCGTCCCAGCCAGCAGCATAGCTGATACTCATTTATTTCAGGTGCAGACTTTTGGGGGGAAAGGCTTTCATTTTCACATGCAGAAGACGAGGTAAAAATGTCAGTGAGATCTGCCCACCTCACTCCTTCGAAAGAAAAGCTCGATCCCTCAGCAACGAGGCACCAGTGTTCTCCGTCCGGGGACGCCTACGTGTCCCCCTCCCTTCCGTTCTGAGGTCACACGCCAGGTACCTCGAGCTAAACAGCCAGGGCTCTCACTTCCCACTAGAGTGTGGTAGTTGAGAACACAGACTCTGAAGCCAGACTACTTGGGTTTAAAACCCGTCTCCACAGCTAGTGGGTGGTGTTACTAGCTCACCAAGCCCTTGGAATCCAAGCGCTGAAGATGGAAGGAGCCTGGGTCCCTGAAAGACTGTGTGGAGCAAAGACCCCACCTGCCCCACCCAGCAGGTTACATTGCGACCGAACTGTCTTGAGCCTTTGAGATGTGAGGCTTTTTGCACGGTAGCTAGCCTACTCCTGACTCAGTTTCCCCATGTCATTGAACTGTTATGAGCGTGAGTTATGAGTCACTATATGCAAAATGCCTAGGATGGCGCCTGTCACAACTGCTACGTACATTTAAACTAACGTTGGAGATGCCTGGGAAGGTCAGACTCCCCTCTCTCCAGCCAGGCCAAGGTCTGCCCCACTCCGGGGCCACCCCCACAGCTCCATCAAGAAGGATGATTCCCCCAAACAGTCCTGACTTTCAACACCAACCAGATATGGCTCTGGCTCCCAGGAATTTCCCTAAAATCCTTTCGAACGCTTTTCAGCCCAAAATCCTCCTGGAGGAACCAAGTGTGTCTTCCCCTCTCTGTGAGATGTTCCCAGAAACAGGGTAACTCCGTCCCGGGCCAGGGTGTACACGTGTCGTTCTAAAGCTGCCAACACACTTCCCCACAGGCAATGAGTCAGAAGTAGGCTGGGCTGAAGAACTGCGTGAACTCCACGGCTGTGGGCTCAGCGAGGCACAGTCCCCTTAGCCAGGGACACGATCGTTCCATAAATGGACCCATCAGCGTCTACCCACTATACGAGGCACCAATGACGCATACATGTGGAGCTCGCACCCACCCCCCCAGCTAATTACACATTTAACTACTTTTTATCAACGAAAGGTTGCTTCTCTCATACCTGTTCCCCATGCTTTTTTGTGTAAGCCATGTTTCTTCGTGTGTCTGTGTGTGCGCCCGCGCACGCACACAGACCCTGATGAAAGCTACCAACGCTCCACAGAAAAACGCAGAGGTAGGTTTGCTATAAAACTTCAGGTGGTTAGCGGGTCCTCAAAGGCAATCCTTGAGATGAGTGATTCCATGTTTCAAAGGACCCGACAATTTCAGAACGATCCTGACAACTCTAACTCGTCACCATCTAAAAGCAACAATTACAAGCATCTTATACACACAGGGAATTTCTGGAAGCACATACGAGAACCCATGAGCCGGGGCCATCTCTGAGGAAAGGCACTGGAGGTCTGAGATGAGAGGGAGGTTTACATGTTTGCATGGGCTAGCCCTTTTACAGGGTTTGGGTTGTTTTTTTTTTTTTTTTTTACATTTTTACCGGGTGTAAGCATTTTTTCTAATCAAACTGTTAATTTTCCAATTAAAAGGAGTCAATAGGAAGTTATTTAAGTTCAGGACTAGATGCAACCCATTGTGGCCGCCATTTCTGTGACACGGGGAAGGGACAGGTCACCAACGGGGAAAAGGTCAGCTTACTTCCCGGCAGAGTAGGATCCATGTGGGAGGGGGGAAAGGCAAAACATTGCTCAAGAGGGGTGACCGTGTTTTCCTGTTTCTCCTTCTTTTTTTTTTTCTTTAATTTATTTCTGAGAGAGAGACACAGCGTGAGCAGGGGAGGGTCAGAGAGAGACGGAGATACAGAATCTGAAACAGGCTCCAGGCTCTGAGCTGTCAGCACAGAGCCCGACACGGGGCTTGAACCCACGGACCGTAAGATCATGACCTAGGCCGAAGTCGGACGCTTAACCGACTGAGCCACCCAGGCGCCCCATCTGTTTCTCCTTCAACACAGGTCATTATAGTTTCAGACTGAGGGGTTATTCATGTTCCGTTGGGTCCCCACACAGCGGGGTGCTGGCAGTAGGAACAGGGAAGAAACTGCCTGTGGAAGTTCCGGGGGCGTGTGCTCAGAGCTCAGAGCCCCGTCAGCTCTGCACTAGGCAGGAGGTGATGAAGACGTGTAAATGCTAGAACAAAGCTGGAATGTAGAGGGAGACGTACAGTGGAGGCCAAACGGCCTCCCACCAAAATCCCCTCCAAATACAAAGAGAGTAGATATCTATTGATCAGGTTGAAGCGCATGTACTTGCCTTTTCCGAAGGTCGTCTGCACAGGGGCAGCCAGAGCCCGTATTTTGCTCGGCTGTGCTGAAGACCATGTAAGGTCATGTGTGTGAAGCTCCTTCCTCTGTGAGTGGCGCAGAGTAGGAGCTCAGCAAGAGTCTGCCACTCCCTTCCACCCTCCCCTCCCTGGGTCATCAGCATGAAACTTTTAAGTTTGGCCATTTCGTGTAAAGATAAAGGTCCACTCAGACAGAACGGGCAACCCCAATGCTTGGTATTTGCTGGAGAGAAATGAAAACTGTATGTTCATAGTGATATAGAGGCCTTAGTCATAATCACCCCAAACTGGAAACAATCTGAATATTCTTCAGCAGGTGACGGGTTACACGGACAAACTTTTATTACATTCCTATGACTGGGTAACTCAATGTGGATGAATCTCAAAGCATAAGACTTGGTAAAAGAAGCTTTTACCAAGCTTTTACCAAAGGCGTCATACTCTGATTCTATTTGTTTTTTTCAAAAAAGTTTTATTTATTTATTTATTTGAGAGAGACAGGGCGAGCGGGGGAGGGGCAGAGAGAGAGGGACAGAGGATCCGAAGTGGGCTCTGCGTGGACAGCAGAGAACCCACTCGGGGCTCGAACCCCCAAACTGCAGGATCATGACCTCAGTGGAAGTCACACGGCTCAACCGACTGAGCTACCCAGGCGTCTGCATCTGATTCTATTCTGTTGGCAACAAAGGGGCAGCGCCAGGCAATTTGGGGGACGAATGACACTTTTCTATATTTTCATCGTGGTGGCGGTTACACAGCTGTAGACGTTTGGCAAAAACTGAAGGGCTGTACGTGAGAAAGGGTCAAGTTTACTGTGTGTAAATTACGAAGGACGTCTGGGACATAGCAACATAAATGACACGGTGTTAGCTCAGACTGCTGTAACAAACACCACGGACTGGGCGGCTTAACAACAGACCCTGATTTCTCCCTGTTCTGGAGGCTGTAAGTTCAAGATCAAGGTGCTGGCAGATCCGGTGTCTGGTGGGGGCCCACCTCCTGGCTTGTAAATGGTGGTCTTCTGGCTGTGTCCTCACAGGGCCTGTCCGGGGTGATCTGTCTCTCCTCCTCTGTTCTTTTTTTTTTTTTTTTTTTAACGTTTATTTATTTTTAAGAGAGAGCATGAGCAGGGGAGGGGCAGAGAGAGAGGGAAACAGAATCCAAAGCAGGTTCCAGGCTCTGAGCTGTTAACACAGAGCCTGACACGGGGCTCGAACTTCCAAACTGTTGAGATCATGACCTGAGCTGAAGTCGGATGCCGACTGAGCCACCCAGATGCCCCCCTCTCCTCTTAAGGGTACTAATCCCATCACTGTAGACCTACTATCAAGACCTCAACTAACAGCTGAATACCTCCCAAAGCTCTGCCCCCCAACACCACCCCCCTGGGAGGAGGGCTTCACCCTATGAGTTTTGGGGGGACAGAAACACAGCCTGTAACAGGTAGTTTTCACCGTTGCGGATGAGTGAACTGCTGTTTCCACAAGGCACCTGTCTCAGCCTTTTACGTCTGGGAAGGGAGAAGCGGACGCTCAGGGTTAGGGTTAAAATCAGAAAAGAGCCACCTGGATGCGGGGCTAGTCCACATCAGCCCTCTGCAGTTCACAGACACCTTAGCTAGCAGGAGCCCTTGGGAGGTCCACTGCAACTCTAGGAGAGTTTTTCAAAAATAAAACATTTTTCTCTTATTATAAAAACAACGCTTCTTTAGTAAGCAGACATTAATCAATCTAGATTCGCAGAAAGGAAATTAACATCACCAATGACCCCATAACTACTGACAATGTCTATGATGGTGTTAAGACTTGCTGTGTTGTGTAAGCAACCATACCTTTTTCTTTTTCATTGTTTTTCTTTTGACAAAAATGAGATCTTACTGCAACAGGGCTTGGGGACCCGACTTTTAAAATGTTGATAAATAATGAACCATTTTGCACACCATCAGTATTCATCTAAACCATAACTTTTAGTGGTTGAGGAATATTCCAGTACATGAGGGACCAATCTCCTACTGCCAGACACACAGTTGGTTTCTAATTTTATTGCTATTTTTAAAAATAACAGTATTAGGGTGACTGGGTAGCTCAGTAGGTTAAGTGTCTGACCCTTGCTTTCAGCTCAGGTCATGATCTCGAGGTTCATGGGTTCAAGCCCCACATTGGGCTCTGTGCTGACGGCGTGGAGCCTGCTTGGGATTCTCTCTCTCCTTCTCCCTCTGCCCCTCCCCCGCTCATGCTCGGTCTCTCTAAAAACTAAACACACTTTAAAAAATATCAATATTGGGGCACCTGGGTGGCTCAGTCGGTTAAGTGTCCGACTTCGGCTCAGGTCATGATCTCACAGTTCGTGGGTTCAAGCCCCACGTTGGGCTGTGTGCTGACAGCTCAGAGCCTGGAGCCTGTTTCAGATTCTGTGTCTCCCTCTCTCTCTGACCCTCCCCTGCTCATGCTGTCTCTCTCTCTCAGAAATTAATAAAAAATATTTTTAAAAAAATCAGTATTGAAACTAACTCCTTAAACAATCATGTTTCCTCTGGATAAATTCCTGGTTTTGAAACTGCTGTGTTTTTTAAGGCTCTGGCACGCATTTCAGACAGTCCTCATGCCCACCGTGAGCTCATGAAAGAGTAGCTTTCTTTTTTCCAATCTAAAATTTTGCAATGTTCAAAACATTTAAAATCTCAGATGTGAAAGAGGGTATTGTTTTAAGTGGTATTTTCTTTCCTATGATGGCGTTGACTATTGGGGTTTTTCTTCCCCATGTGCTTACTGGCCAAGGGCATTTCTTCTCCTCCTCCCCCTCTCCCTCCTCCTCCTCATTCTTTTTCGTGCTCTCACCTGCTGTGCTCCCCATGGGATGCAATGACAACTATACCACAGCACACACGAAAAGTTTAAAAGTTTAAAACTCCTCCAGTTTTGAAAGGATAAGCATAGCAATGAAGGCACTGGCTCCATCTCATCAAAAACGTCAAGGCCGCAGAAAAACCAAGCAAAGTTTGGGACTATCTGGGATTTAAGGAAACTAAAATCAATGGGTGGGGCAGGGGATTAAGGATGGCAAGCACCGGGTGCCTATGGCAGTGCAGAGTCACAATATTGGACCCTTGAAGCTAATACGACACTCTAGGTCAGCTGATATTTAAATAAAAACTTAAAATCAGTGAGGGATCCCAATTTGAACCCTGACATTATGGAGACTCTTGAACACGGATACTAAATTAGATAATATTGTAGCATTGTTACATTTCCTGGTTGTTTCTTTTTCTTCTCTGCCCCCTCCTCCCGCCACATGCTTGTCAGTTAAAAGCACCTCTTCTTTTTCCATTTCTTGAGGACATTCCACTTTGCCTTCCTAACTGTTAAAGCTCAGTGTATGTTCGGCGAACAGCCGCATGTCTGCCATGAATTGCAAACGTCGCTCCAGTTTATCATTTGCTGTATTGAAGGTTTTTTTTTTTTAAATTTAGGAGCCCAATCTATCAATCGTTCTCAATCATTTCTTTTATGATTTTTACCTTTTACTACCATGCTTTAGAAGTCCCTTCCAAAGGGGCTCCTGGATAGCTCAGTCGGTTAAGCATCCGACTTCGGCTCAGGTCATGATCTCACAGTTTGTGAGTTTGAACCCCGCGCTGGGCTCTGTGCTGACAGCTCAGAGCCTGGAGCCTGCTTCGGGTTCTGTCTCCCTCTCTCTCTCTCTCTCTCTGCCCCTCCCCCGCTCATAAAAAAAAAAAAGGAGTCCCTTCCAAAAAGGGGCCATAGTAATTTTACACTGGAGGAGTCTCGCAGACACCTCTTTTAACCAACCAATCGAGGTCAGCGTCATCAGGAAGTCATGCTGATGTACAGCATGTAAATCTTAACACGATGTGATGGTAAGGATGCTTCACTTCTGTAGCAGATTCTCTCCCCAAACCCGAAATCCCAGCCAAATCATGAGACGGCATCAGGCAAACCCAAAGAAAGGGACATTCTGCAAAATACTGACCAACGCTCTCCAAAGCTGTCAAGGTCCCCAGATTTAAGGAAACTCTAAGAAACTGTCATGGGCCAGGAGAGATGAAGGGACAGCACAACTGAATGCAGCACGGTGTCTTGAATTGGATCCCAGAGCAGTAACAGCAGCAGCAAAACTGGTGAAATCCCAGTAAAGTCTGCCATTTTGCTAGCGGTGATGTGAATTTCTCAGTTTTGTTATGTGTCCCATGCTATGTAACACCAGGGAAAGCCGAGTGAAGGCCATAGGAAAACTGTACTATTTTTGCAAGGTTTTCTATAAATCTAAAAGTATTCCAAAATAAGGGGTGCCGGGGTGGCTCAGTTAGTCAAGGGTCAGACTTCAGCTCAGCTCATGATCTTGGGGTTTGTGGGTTCGAGACCCGTGTTGGGCTCTGTACTGACAGCTGAGAGCCTGGAGCCTGCTTCCGATTCTGTGTCTCCCTCTCTCTCTGACCCTCCCCTGCTCACAATCTGTCTCTCTCTTTCTCAAAAATAAATAAACACTAAAAATTTTTAAAAAAACCTCTAAGATAAATGAAATAAAATGAAATAATTCCACAATAAACAGAGTTTGAGGTTTTTTTTTTTTTTAAAAAAAAAAACAGTTTTGTCTAGGACAGAGAATGGTCTAGGCAGAAAACAGAAGGAATAGAAAGAGAAAACCCATCTAAGCTCCTGGCTCTGGGTGGCAGTGTGGGAGGAAGGTGGAGATAGGGAGTGATTGTGGTTCCTCATTGCCCATCTGTTGGTTGGGGAAAAAGACTGGGGTAGCAGCAATGGGTCTAGAAAGGTAAACTGAGTCTGAATGCTAAGGAGCCCAGTACTTAAAAGAGTCCAGTTTGAGAGCTTTGAAAAGTTAGGGGCTTAGCCTGGCCTTGGTCCTGCAGGAGGTGAGGGGCTGATGAAGATTTTAGTTCTGTGAGTACATGAGTGTTGGTTTGTTATTTCATTTATTCGTGTCCTAATTTACTGACTCCTCATTCCTCCCCAGTAAGACGTAAACGCCACTAGAGCAGGGACCATGTCTGCCTTATGGACTGTGTTCCGCCAAAATCCAGAATGCCTGGCCTGGAGGAAGAACCCAGTATCAGTTGAATGAATGAGTTTCACTTCCAAAATGACTGTGTTTTTTTTTTTTTTTTTAGAGAGAGAGGGCGTGCATGGAGCAGGGGAAAGGGGCAGAGGGAGACAAAAGGAGAGAGAGGAAGAGGGAGAGAATCTTAACCAGGCTCCATGCTCAGCGAAGAGTCCGAGACGGGACTCGAATTCATGACCGGGGATCATGGCTTGAACCAAAACCAAGAGTTGGATGCTCAACTGACTGAGCCATCCACTTGCCCCTAAAATTACTTTTTATTAACTTATTTGACCTTCTGCGCCCCTTCAGCTTTCAGCGCAGATTTCCTCTTCTGAAAGCCCGCCCTTGAGTCTCCAGGTTTGGGTGAAGCGCCAGCTGAATGACAAGGGTGCCTTCACAGCCCACGCCTGCTGAGGCCCATCAGGCCCACCTGGGGGCGGGAGCTGGCCCTTGAGTCCACATTTGTTACAAGTGACACCCTGCGGCGAGTAGGCAGAGTAAGGCCCCACCCTTACAGCAGAGCACACACCTGTCACTGCTCAGAAACAATGACCCCAAGGGCAGTTAAAACATGAAGGCCACCGTCCAAACTGCCGTTAATGAAGATGTAAGATTCAGAGACTGAAAGGGTGAATGTTTGTTTTTTAATCAGATCCTCCTCCACCAAGTATCAAACCATGCCCACACCCTGACCAGGATGGGCACGCCTCGGAATCTTGTGGCTTCGGTGTCAGACCGCCGAAATAAAGTGACTATCACAATAAAGTGAGTCAAATGAATGTTTTGGTTCCCCAGTGCATGTGAGGTTACGTTTACACCATACTATAGTTTGTTACGTGTGCAATAGCATCATGTCTAAAAAAATATATGTACACACCCTAAAGAAGAAATACTTTATTACTAAAAAATGCTAGGGGCGACTGGGTGGCTCAGTTAAGCGGCCGACTTAGGCTCAGGTCATGATCTCGCAGTTCGTGGGTTCGAGTCCCGTGTCGGGCTCTGTGCTGACAGCTCGGCACCTGGAGCCTTCTTCGAATTCTGTGTCTCCCTCTCTCTCTGGCCCTCTCCTGCTCGCACTCTGTCTCTCAAAAATGAATAAAAATGTTTAAAAAAAATGCTAACTATCATCTGTGCTTTCAGTAAGTCCTGATCACAGATCACCATGAAAAGCACAATAACAATGAAAAAGTTTGAAATATTGGGAGAATTGCCAAAATGGGACAGAGACAGGAAGTGGGGCAGATGCTGTTGGCAAAATGGTGCCAACAGACTTGCTGGACACAGCTTTGCTGCAAATCTTCAATTTGTAAAATACGCAGTCTCTACAAAGTGCAGTGAAATGAGGTATGCCTCTACAGGCCAGCAAGTAGGTGCACAGAAGATGTAGAGCCAGGGTAAGGTAAGTAAATTCTCGCTCTCTCTCCCAGATCAGATGTGGAGAGGAAAAAGTGGCAAAGGCATAAAATTCACCAAGAATTAGAGCCACCTGGTTCTAGATCCTGAATCAAAGAAATAGCAGAACCTTCTGGAGACATCCAGAACTGTACATCGTATGAGCTCACACTCTTTAATAAAGATAGGCACTCAGCCACAATGGTGAGCTCTCGTCCTGAATCTGCCGGGCTGTGCGGTGAGTCTGGCCCATCACCTCTCGGATGCTTCCATTCGTGAAGCTCTGGGGACATTAAAAAACTAAGGAATGCCAAAATGCACTTACCAATCCTGCAATGTGTTTTACTTATTTATTTTAAAATGTTTTATTTTATTTTTGAGAGAGAGCAAGTGTGAGCGGGTGAGGGGCAGAGAGAGAGGGAGACGGAGGATCCGAGGCGGGCTCTGCACCGACAGCAGCGAGCCCGATGTGGGGCTTGATCTCACAATCTGTGAGATCACAACATGAGCTGAAGTTTGATGCTCGATTGACTGAGCCACCCAGATGCCCCTTGTGATGTGTTTTAGATGCCGGGATTATATAAATGACAGGTTTGGTGCACTGTGGGAATACAAACTGGGTCGTTAGCATGACAGTTTGGGACTTTATCATAAACACGAATTCTTAGTGTACATTAACATCAGCTCTGTGTGATAACTGACGACATCGGCACCTCAGCTGGCGAAGTGTCCGTTTACAGAGCCTTGAGTCCCACCTGCCTCATACAAACTCTGTTTTCTGGCCTCTGTTTCTTCTTCTGAGAATTAAGGTGGCTCGGTAAGCACTGGTTTCCAGCTCGCTGTTTAGGATTTGTTTTTAAAGCCAGAGAACTTTTTTAAAGGAATCTTTCACACCCCTGACATCTGGAACATTAGTAAGCAGCTTCCTTCTGGCTGGCCCTGCCTCCCACCGCTCAGCTCCATCCCACAAACCCCTGCCTGCCTCTGGGACCCGTCCAAAGAATTCCAAGTTTCCCGGGATCTCAGTATAAAAAGCAGTGGACTGTTACACCATACACACAAATTAACTCACAATGGATTAAAGACTTGAACGTTAAGACCTGAATCGACAAAACTCTTAGGAGAAAACGGAAGCAGTACTCTCCCTGACATTGGGGTTAGCGATGTCTTTTTGGATCTGACTCCAAAGGCAGAGAAAACAAAAGCAAAAATAAACAATTGGGACTATGGCAAACAGAAAGCTTTTTGCAAGGCACAGAAAACCATCAACAAAGCCAAAGAAAACCTCCTAAATGGGAGAAGACACTTGCAAACCATACATCTGAAAAGAGGTTAATATCCAAAATACGTAAAGAACCCATACAGCTCAATGACGAAAGAAACCCACCACGAATCTGATTAAAAAATGAGCAGCCTGGGGCGCCTGGGTGGCTTAGTTGGTTAAGCGTCCGACTTTCGCTTAGGTCATGATCTCACGGTTCGTGGGTTCGAGCCCCGCGTAGGGCTCTGTGCTGACTGCCAGCTCAGAGCCTGGAGCTTGTTTCAGTCAGTGACTCCCTCTCTCTCTGACCCTCCCCTGCTCACGCTGTCTCTCTCTCTGTCTCCTAGAAATAAATAAAATAAAATAAAAAATAAATAAATAAAATAAAAATAAAAAATGAGCAGCCGACCTAAGGCATTTTTCCGAAGACATCCAGATGGCCAACAGACACCCGAAAAGAGGCTCAGCATCACTCATCATCAGGAAATGCAAATCAAAACCACAATATCACCTCACACCTGTCAGAATGGCTGTCATCAAAAAGATAAGAAATAAGAAGTGTTGGCAAGGGTGGGGAGAGCAGGGAATCCTTGCACACTGTTGGTGGGAATGTAAATTGGTGCAGCCCCCGTGGAAGACGGTATGGACGTGCCTCAAAAATGAAAAATAGGGGGCGCCTGGGTGGCCAGTCCGTTAAGCATCTGACTTCGGCTCAGGTAATGATCTTGCGGTTCATGGGTTTAAGCCCCGCGTCAGGCTCTGTGCTGACAGCCAGCTCAAAGCCTGGAGCCTGTTTCAGATTCTGTCTCCCTCGCTCTCTGACCCTCCCCTGCTCATTGTTTTTCTCTCTCTCTCTCTCTCTCTCTCTCAGAAATAAATAAAACATTTAAAAATTAAAAAAAAAAAAGAAAAATAGAACTATCCTATGACCCAGTAATTTCACTACTGGGTGTTTCTATGAAGAAAACAGCACTGATTTGAAAAGACACATGCACCCATATATTCATTGCAGTGTTATTTACAACAGCCGAGACATAACAACAGCCTAAGTGTCCATCAATGGGTGGGTGGATAGAGAAGATGTGATGTAAATAAATACAACTCAGCCGCAAGAAAGCATGAAATCTGACCATTTGCAACAACACGCATAGACCTAGAGAGTATTATGCAAATTGAAATAAATTAGACAGAGAAAGACAAATACCACACGCTTTCACAAATACGTGGAATCTAAAAAACAAAACAAAGAAAACAAAACAACCCCCAGACTCATGGATACAGAGACCAGACTGATGGTTGTCAGAGAAGAGCTGGGGGGGGAAGGGAGGGGGAGCAAAGTGGGGGGTTGGGGGGGAGGGTGCAAAACAGATGAAGGGGATTAAGAAGTACAAAATTCCATTTCAAAATAAATAAGGTTACAAAATAAATAGGTCACCGGGGATGTAATGTACAGCATGCGGAATATAGTCAACAACATTGTACCGGGGCACATCAGACATCGGCTCGGGTTATGATCTCATGGTTCATGGGTTCGAGCCCTTTGGGCTCTGTGCTGACAGCTAGCTCAGAGCCTGGAGCCTGTTTCAGATTCTGTACCTCCCTCTCTCTCTGACCCTCCCCTGTTCACACTGTCTCTCTCTCTCTCTTAGAAATAAATAAAACATTAAAAAAATTAAAAAAAAAAAAACATTGTACTAACTTTGTCAGGTGACAGATGGTAACTAGGCTGTGTTGACCCTTTTGCAACATACACAAATGTCAAAGCCCTATGTGGTACACCTGAAACTCATACAATATTGTATGTTAACTGCACCTCAATCAAAAAAGAAACCCAATGGACTGCAGCGGCTCTGCCCAAGGTTCTTACCGTGCAGTTGGAAATATATTTATCCGGTGACTCAGCACATGTCCATATACATATACCTGACACGAAAGTCTTGCTAAAGACTTCTCATGACAGAAGCTGCGCTTTCCTCTCTAGTCTGCTTTCTTCTATTTCACTTTTAGGAAGCCAGGGGGAAATTACGAAACTGATTTTAAACCCCACTTAGTTGCTGCCCACAGTCTATAAGGCTAAGGGGTCCCCCGGAATGCTTCTAGTATTGACAGTTTATAGGGCATTAACAAAGCTGTGATCCTGTTAAGAGTCTGGGAGATGCCAGGTGAGCCTGTCCCAAAGGTTGAAGTGACCAACCTCAGTCACCTGGGCGGGTACCAAATTCTCTGCTCATGTTTGCCATTGAAATACTTGCTGTCCAAGGGGCAGGGCTGGGAGGCAAGCAAACCAAGTACAGTCCTGATTTTCCTGGGGACCCACGCTTGCCACCCCATGGCCCAATCCTGGGGAGATTCAGGGCAAGGGGTGGTAACAGCGGGGTAACCTTTGCATCACACCCATCCCGCCGGATGGCTAACCTCCTCAATTTCTACGAGGCTCCCTAAGAAGAGATTTTTACTTTGGATTTTGTAAACAGAGTTCTTTCCCAAATACCATGGCGGTGCAGAGAAATGGCCCCCTGAGATCCCACGGTGGCTAACAGTTTGCATAGCATTACAAGATTTCGATTGCTGGAGTGTTGTGACAGAGCCACCAAAGCTGGCCTCTGGGTCCCTTCCAGCCACCAGATGGTAGAAGTGTGGCGGACTGGTAGGTTAGAACCGGCGTGGGAAAACTCTCACACAGGGAAATACCTGTCATGCTGATGAACTGAAAAGCCAGGACATTAAACACAGAGCAAGCAGGCAAGCAAACAAAAAATCTGCATCAACACTGAAATACCAATAGTGGTGGCCAGCATACGGTGATGTTTTCCATCCATGTTTTCTACCACGGACATGTACTTCCTCTGCAATCCGGGGGAGAAAACAACCTTAATGCGGTACCTTACAGAGAATGGTCAGAGGAGCAGCAAAAAGCTTAATCGCCAGCTTACCCCCGGCATTACTACCGGTTTGAACAGATAGGACCTGAAAATGTCAAGGTACATGCCTCACCCCCACCCCACTGTCTTCCAGGACCCTCAGCATTTACTCCTCCTGGACATGTCACTGCGGCAGCCTCCAAAACACCCACCAGGGTGGAACATTCTCGAGAGAAAGCAGCTTCTGAAGAAGGGCTCCTCTGATTTTATTGTCTTGCCTTTTTTTTTTTTTTCTCCCTTTTCAAGAACCATCCTGGAAAGCATTCAAGCCAAAATCAGGAAACTTGGGTCATAGTCCTAGCTCTGAATTCAAGCAAGCGCCTTCCCTTCCCTGGGCCTCAGTTTCCCCATTTGTAAAAGAAACAGATTAGACTTTCTGATGGCTGAGGTCCCCTCTGGCTCCAATATCTAAGAGCCAAGCACTCAGGTTTAAGGGCTGCTAAGGCTGATAAATCTAGGGCAAGAGAGAAGAAGGAGGCTGTTGGCAGCTCAGCCCAAGTAAACAACACTGGATGGAAGGCAGGACCCATCGGCCTCCGGAGATAAGGGCTGGGGCTGAGCAGAGGGCAGAGTCAAGAATCAGTCCGAGGCCACAGCTAGTGGAGAGCTGAGCCCGGGCTGGGAGGGCTGCCTATGGCCAGGGTCTGGGGCAGTCCGGGCTGTAACAGGGAAAACCAAACAAGCAACCTGTTACTTTGGGGAGCCAGAGCTCCCTGGAGAGGCAGCCAGTGCGCCAGGGGCTCGATCCAAGAGAAGGCAAACAAAAAATGATATCAGGCCAAGCGGGCCACCTGTCCAGGGGGGAGGAGTGAGACTCTATGAAGCATTGGGCAAGACAGAGATCCTGAGAAAAACCACCAAACCTGTAGTAAACTGAGGTCTAAAATGAGTCTCTGGCTTGAATGTGGCCAGACCTCCTGGGAGAACAGAGAAGACCCTAGAGCAGTCAGGTGGGTTTCTGTCCCAGTTCTGCTGCTGACTTACTGTGTGCCCTTCTCCTCTCTGAGTTTCTTCGTCTTATTATTTATATTGAGAGAGAAAGGGCACACATGGGAGAGAGAAATGGAGGGGGGGAGAATCCCAAGCAGCGTGGAGCCCAATGCGGGGCTCGAACTCACGAACTGAACTGTGAGATCATGACCTGAGCCGAAATCAAGAGTCGGACGCTTAACCGACCGAGCCACCCAGGCATCCCTCCCCACTCTGAGTTTTATTCATCAAATGAGCATGGTCCCCTGCACCCAGGGCATTCTAGGGTCCTCCTGTGGCTGGTGAAAGGCAGAGCATAGTTCCTCTCCAAGCAGAGGATGACATCCATCCTACACGGAGGACTCTCTTAACAGAGGTCAACTATGAGAATGACCCATCCAAGCTTCACGACCAAAGTGAAAGCAAAAGCCAGGAGCCAGAAGCAGATCCTTCACCATACCCCCAATCAGAAGGCATCTGAGCTTCTGGAACTTTCCTAGCTCTTAGAGAGAAAACTCTGCTCAGTGCCTCGATTTCTACCTTAATTAGGAACCGGGAGAAGAGAGGCCCAGAGCCAAAGCCCTTCGTGCTTCAGCCTCATCCAGCCCTGGGGCTCTGTATTACTGCCAGATCCAGGGAGGGAGGGAACATTTACCAGAACCCTGACCCGATAAAACAGGGGCCCTGAAAGAGGCACGTTGCCCAGTTGCCCAGGAGACAGGCTGCTGGTTCTGCCTCCAACTTTGCTACTCCTCACACAGAAGCTCCTGGGCCTTGTGCCCCCTGGGGCCAGCAAGCAGGAAAGCCACAGCTGGAGGGGCTTGGGCCCTGCCAAGGTCCTGGCGCTCAGCCGCTCTCTCTGGTGGTAGACAGGCTGGCAGTTCGGACCCTACACCAAATCCATGAACCTCACCCTTGACCAGGGGTCACATGTCAAGACCACATGTTAATCTCTGCCTCCGCTGTGGGTCTCCACTCCAGCCCCGATTCATTGCCACTGCCTCCAGCCTGCGGGTCAGCCTCCTCCCACCCCTCCCTCCGCCCCCACCCCTACCCCAGCAACCTTCCCCAAACTCTCATGTGACTTCACACAGCCAGTTATCTTCCTCACATACCAACAGGATCAAATGGCTCCCTTGGGTCTTTCTTGTTCAGTGATCCGAACTGAGCGCCTAGAACAGTGCATGGGCCACAGAAGGCGCTCTGTCAACATCTGCTGAATGACTCCAAGACATTCACGTGCTAAAGTCCCACCTGTAATGCCCCAGCCCCCTGCGTAACCAGTCTAGCTCATTCCAGACCCTCCATTCCTTTACTTTCTCCACCTTCCCACAAACCCACAAGCCTCTGCCTGAGCACAGTGCTCTGGGCCCAGAGCAGCCCCATGACCTTCACACCTCTGGGCCTTTGCTTGTGCTGTTCCATCTACACAGACACCCTTCCTCTCTCTCCCTGGGGGACACCGATACACTGTTTAATATTCCAACATTCTTTTCCTAGCAGGACCTCCTGGCACACCACCTCCGCCTGAGTTATTTTCTTTCTCTTGTTCTCCCCTAAGCCCCAGTGACATAATTTCCTACAGAATACTTGCTATGTGCTAGGCATGAAGGTCCCGCCTAGGAGGTCATCATTCCCATAGTACAGATGAAGAAACCGAGGCTCAGTGAGGCAGGTCACACACAGCCTGCCAGTGTAGGGGCGTGACTGTGCCACCACCTCTCAGCACGCCATGTCATTTACTAGTCACTAGGCGGGGAGCTCTGAAGGCCCCTGGGCCCTGCATCCCTGGGACAGGCCTGGCCTTACTCAATCCCGAGGAGGTCCTAATCGTCCAACCCCCGGACAGGACCTCCGGCGGAACAGATGCGCCGCCAGCCTCCCCCCCTTCCTCTCTCCTCTGCCTTTCCTCCCAGGCTGGGCAGTAACTCTGGCAAGAGGGAAGTCTTTGGAGGGCAAGGGGCTCCTTCCCAATTCTATGTCTTCCTATAAACTGAGCTCAAGATCCTTGGGTGACAAGTCTTCGAAGCGTGAAAGCTGTTCACAGGTCCCAGAGCCGACCTTTCGACTGGAGAAGCTATGCTGGAAACAAACCACGCAGAGCGAAAACCAAAAGCCGGCCCCGCAGGGTGACCCCTCTCCTGCGGCTCCTCCGGGCTGACTCCGGCCCCGCCCACCCAGGCCCCGCCCCCACCCGCTCCGGCCCCGCCCCCGCCCCAGGCCCCGCCCCCTCCGGCCCCGCCCCCGCGCCGCTCCCGGAGCGCCTGGGTTCCCAGAGCCTGGACCACCCGCGCATCTGGCCACCGGCCGCACACGCTCCCCCGAGAGTATACAGGTGCCGCACGGCCGCGACCGGCCAGGGCGGGGCCAGGCGGGGCCGGGGAACCGCACGGAAGTCCAGGTTTCCTGTTCGCCCACCTCCAGGTTAAAAAGCCCGCTTTCTCTAAGGGACCATCCCTTTCGGTTAGACTCGGCGCTCCCAGGCCACGCGCCTCCCGGCTGGGCTGGACTCTCAGCACCTGCTAGGTGCCAGGCTCGAGAGCCCCGCCTCGTCCAGGAGGCTGCCATGCCCTTTTAAAAGTGAAGAAACTGCGTTTCACCCCGCTTTGCTCACGCCCGATTTCTCACCGTTCTATTTTATTTTATTTTATTTTTTGCTTCTAGTGTGCCTAAATCCCTGAAAAGCCTCGATTTCCGGAAGAGTTAGGGAAGGGAGAAGGGGCACCAATCGGGCAGTGCCAGGGTGGTGCCCGGGGACTTACGGGGCAGCTCGACTCGAAGCGCGGGTGGAAGCTGTCTCTTGGTGGAGGTCACGGATTCGAAACCTGCCAGGCGGACGGCACCTGTCCCCGCCCACGCGGGGGGGGCCCGGAGGCCCCCCCCCCCGCCGAGACCAGCGCGACGCGTCCCGCACTGTTGGGGCGCGGCTCCAGCGGGTGCGGGGTCCGAGTCCTCCCGGCCGCAGACCCGGGCCAGGAACTCCCGGACGGACGGACGGGCAAACAGACCCAGACAGCCCCCGCCTCCCTCTCCGGCCGGGCGGGGAGCCAACTCACCCGGGCGGCGGCGCAGACTCACCCGGGCGGCTGCGGGTCCAGCTCGGTCACGGTCGGACTACCGCGCCCGGGGGCTCCACGACCCCTTGGGCTGCCTCTTCCGGGGCGCTGCGATCCCAGGGCTGGGGACTCCGGGGGAGGGTCTCGGGCCGGCGCGGCGGCGGCGGCGGCGGCGGCGAGGGCGCACCGCCAGCTCCGGGACCGGGACGCGGACGCAGGAAGCGCAGCCTCGGAGCGCCGGCGTGCGGGAGGGAGGGACGGCGGGAGGCAGAGGGCGGCGCCGGCCCGGAGCGGCCTCCGGCCGGGAGAGGCGCCGCCCACCAGTCGCCCCTCCGGCCCTGCCCTCCGCGCCACCCCCAGGCCGGCGGCACCCACTTCCCCGGGTGGGCTGGGGGCGTGCTGGGCGGGCACGCTAGGCCAAGTCCTCCCCCGACCCCTGCCACTCGGAGTTGTGGGGGTGGAAGGAGGGGACGGTGACCCCCCCCACACACACACCCGGAGGCTGGTACAGTCCGGCGAACCCTCCCGCCGCACCTTTACCTGGCGGGACTCTCACCTGGCCGCCCGGCGCGCCGGCCTCTACCCTCACTTCCTGGGGAGGCTGCAGCCGCCCTCCACCCTAGGGCGTGTTCGGGGCTCTGGGGCCCGCCCGCACCGCCCTGGGCGGGTGGTTTGCGAGGTGACTGATGGGTGGAGTTAGGAAAGAAGGAAGCAGGTTTTTAAAAAGCGAGTCTGCTCCTGCCCTCCGCCCGGTCCCCTGAGCACCCCCTGCGGGGTCCCGGTCGCACAGGCCCGGGAGGAGCCCATTTCTCGAGCCCGCGCCTGCTTACGGGATGCGGACGCCCCGGCCAGAGAATCTCGCCTGCTGGGTGCTCATTCCCAGCTTTCCCTAGAACTTTCCCAGTGAAACCCTGGCTGTGGTAGTCCTGACCACCAGGTTGCAGGCGGCGGCCCAAGTTTGCTGAGAGGCCCAGAACTGGTGCCTGAGGCCTGGCTCTGGAGAGGGTAAGCCCGGACCGGTGAGGGTGCTCTTACCCGCGGCTCCGCCCCTGCCCCGCACCTGGAGAGGTTTGCCCGTGCCTCTCAGGCGCCCAAACTGATCTCAGCCAGGCCAGAAAAAACTGGATTCTGAACGTAGGGGGAGAAGGTAGCCCGCCCCCTCTCCCAATCTTAGGTTGTTTTAATTCCAAGAGAGGCCAGGCCTCGGTCCCCTTCTGGGTGAGTGTCCAATTCTTTGAAGTTCAAACCATGAGAAAAGCCAATGGGCAGCTGGCCGGGTATCAGAGAGTCTAGCTGAGGACAGAAGGCGCCTCCTACTGGGAATTGGCTGTGTCCCGGATGGAAATAAGACACCCTGGTGGAATTGCAAATCAAGTTCACTTCCAAACTGCCAAGTTCATGGGTCCACATCCTCCAAATGTGTGTATACCTATGTTGTCCCATATGGGTATTTTTTTTCCCATCGTTTTTTTAACTTGAACAGTAGCAGTTCAACAGGACCCTGGTGTCCCCAAATAGGCATTTGGGGATGTCTTGTGATTTGGGGGTGAGGAAAGCATTTAGGGAAACAGCGATGAGTCTCCATGAGTATGACAGTAACAGGTGTTCCTCACAATCTGACTATGGACCTATTGCCAGGCTGCTACTCACTTCCCAGCCCATTTAATCCTCATAACAACCTCAGGGACACTTTGGGGTTACACCCACTTTATAGAAGAGAAAGCTGAGACTCTGAGAGGTGAGGTCATCATGTGCCCAAGGTCACGCAGCTGGGGAGTATCAGGAGTTAGACCCTAGTTGGTTGGCTCCAGAGCCTGCCGTCTCTATGCTTCTGGAGAATTCCTTGTTGCGCCGCACATAATCTCTCCCTTGAGATGAGGTCCCCTGCTTCTCCTGTCTGTCCTTCAGGAAAAGAAGCCTCTCTGTCTCACTCTGCACAGTGACATAACTCCTTACAAGTTTGCCTTCTGCTCTCCTAGAGGATAGGGACCCCTGTGTCCTGCCCACTTCTCCTGGCCCCCTGCAGGTGCTTAATTAAATATCTGTTGGATGGATGAAAGCCCCAAATAGTAACCTTATTTTATTGAACGGGAAGAACTGTCTGGGTAGGCAGTACCTGTGCTAACAAGCTCCCATCGGAGAGTTGTTTTTCCATCACAAAGTTCAGACGATGAATTTGGGAAACTTCCAGCCTCCAAATGGTTGATGGGAAACAGTCCCACTTTCAGATAAGACGCAGAATCTGGCTTTCATTTCACTCTGCAAGACCGACTTTGGAGAGGCCTGGGCTGGGGAAAATCATTTCAGACAGCTGCTCCAGCTTCTACCTGCAGGCACCGAGCCTCAGTACTTTTCCAGGCCAGGCTCCAACTCCAGATCCACCCTGCTCTGCTCCAAGCCTAACTGGGCAGTTCTGTCTCAGCAAACCATCCTCAGAGCGTTCCCTTTTAGGCAGGCTCATGCTGCCTCATCTGGGGAGAGGCTGGAGAAATTCCCATCCAAAGCGGAGCCACAGGCAAAACTAGAAGTTGGCCAAGGAAGGGGAAGTTTGTTTCTCCTTGTCCCCCTACCTGTCACAGCCCTCTCCCTCTACACAGTGAGTTTCTCTGATTCTTCTCTGGTTCCCTAGGCCCTATTGAGGAGCTAGACTTAATTGACAAGGGCCCAAGATGTGTCCTTGGAGAAAGAGCCAAAGAAGTAAATCTTGAATGGTGGAATTTGTTACCCGTGACCATAACAGGCAGTGGCGAAGATGATGGATCCCATTTACTGAGCACTATGTTTCAAGAGTTCTGTAACCATTGTTCTGTATTGTTTAATCAGAACAGCCTTAGAAGGAAAACCCCTATTACACTGGTGTTTCAGGCCAGGTTAACTGAGACTCAGAGGAATTACCTACCTCGATCTGCTAACAAGTGGCAGGGCCAGGATCTGAACTGATGTACGTGCTTGATGCTAATCGCTCTGCTAGGAACTCCACGGGACAGGCAGAGCCATGGCTGCCCCAAGATGTTCATAATTGAATGCCCAGAACCTGTAAATAGTTACCTTACATGGTAAAAGGGACTTTGCAGATAGGATTCAGTAGTCAAGGCCCTTGACGTGGAGCCATTAGCCTGGAGGGATGGGTGTAGTCACAGGGGTTCTTATAAGCGAGAGGCTTGAGGGTCAGAGGAAGAGATGTAGTGGTGGAAACAGAGGGCGGAGTGATGTGGTCTGGGCGGGACTATGAGCCAAGGAATGTGGGCAGTGCGATGCTGGACAAGGTCAGCGACGGATTCTCCCCTGGGCCCTCCGGAAGGAGCACAGCTTTGCTGATGCCTTAATTTTAGCTTCCGAGACAGAGTTTGGACTTCTGACCTCTAGGACTGTAAGACAATAAACTCCCGTTGTTCTAGGCCATGAAGTTTGTGGCAGTTTGTTACAGAAGCCACAGAAAACCAAAAGGTCTTGCAAACTCACCCATGTAGACAGGCATAGACATCTACCTTTGTTCACCATCAATCTTTTCTCCTAATAGGGACCATGGTCCAGCTGGCACCATGAATTTAGGTTGAAGCTGGGATTTCATTTGTGCTGTCTTTCATTTCTGAGTCCTCTGTTGCTTATGAGCTGTGCGACCCTGGGTAGATATCTTGTCCTCTCTGAACCTCAGTTTCCTCATCTGTAAAAACAGTGATGCTAAGAGACACCTGGACGGCTCCGTCAGTTAAGCGTCTGACTTTGGTTCAGGTCATGAAGTCACAGTTGGTGAGTTCGAGCCCCACATCGGGCTCTGTGCTGACAGCTCAGAGCCTGGAGCTTGTTTCAGATTCTGTGTCTCCTCTCTCGCTGCCCCCTCCCCTGCTCACACTGTCTCTCTCTCTCTCTCTCAAAGGTAAATAAATATTAAAAAAAATTTTTTTTAAGTAGCGTTAATAATACCTACTTTGCAGGAAGCAGTGTCATCTGAACATGATCATTTGGAGCCCTAGCCTGTCCATTTCCAAACGTCCGGATTCTAAGAGGAAAAGATGCCACTCTGAGCATTCCCCTGGCCAACGTTTCTACTCTCTCTGGCTGAGTGGGTAAGATGCTAACTTAAACTGTCAGACTGTCTCTGGCTGGTGACTAGTCCTCAATCTGTCAAGAAGTAAAGCTGAAAATCGACTTAGAGGAATAGATTGTCACGTAGCACTCACACAGCTGCCGGAGAACAAGTGGTCAGGGATTTTCATTGCTGATTATTCATAACAGTGAAAATTGGTGACCAATCTGCATCCCACAGAAGAGAGCTGGATAGTGGGCTTGTGCCAGGATGCTGTGTGGATGTGAAAAAGAAGGAGAAAGCTCTACCTGACAGGGAAAAACATCCAAGCTGTATCATTCACCGAGAAGGGCAAGGCACTGAGCATGATGCTGCCACACACACGGTTTTATTTTTTAAGATGTAGACACATATATTTTATTTATGCATAGAAAGTACATGGAAGGGAGGGGGCGTCTGGCTGGCTCAGTTGGTAGAGCATGCAACTCTTGATCTTGGAGTTGTAAATTCGAGCCCTGTGTTGGGTGCAGAGGTTACTTAAGAAACAAATATTAAAAAAAAAAAAAAAAAGAAAGAAAAGAAAGAAAATGCATGGGAGGAATGAAACGAAACTCTGGTTACCCTTAGAAATTGAAAAGGTGGGGTCGCCTGGGTGGCTCAGTTGGTTGAGGGTCCGACTTCAGCTCCGGTGATGATCTCATGGTTTGTGAATTTGAGCCCCGCGTCGGGCTCTGTGCTGACAAACAGCTCAGAGCCTGGAGCCTGCTTCAGATTCTCTATCTCCTTCTCTCTCTGCCCCTCTTCTGCTAATGCCCTGTCTCTCAAAAAGAAATAAATGTTAAAAATTTTTAAGAAAAAAAAAAAGAAAGAAATTGAAAAGGGGTGTGTGTGTGTGTGTGTGTGTGTGTGTGTGATGGGGATATAAGTTTTTTTTCAATAAGAGTGTGTTAATAACATAAACTAAGAAAATTTAAAATAAAGGAGGCCAAGAGCTATGTGTTTGGTCCCCCAGGGGCACGCCCTCCTTTGCCCCAGTGCCTGCCCCCATCTGCCACTCTTTTCCTTTGCTCCATTCTGAGCAGGTGAACCCTTCTTCCCACTTCCTCTTGACGGGGTCATTTCTAAACCCTTGGGGAGCTGAGCAATGTCTCCACTGCGTGACTCTTGCCAAAGTCAGCAGTAAATCCCATGCGTACGTG